GGCTTCCCTGGCTCCTCCTGTCCCTGCCGGCTGGTGGACCCCACCCTTGCAGAACAGCCTGAAGGGGCGCAGCCCTGCCCTAGAAGGACCTTGACCGCCTCCTTCCGGTGAGCCCCAAGAAGAAGACAGGAGGTGGAGCACTGAGAGGGAGAGAGGCAGAGGCAGAGGGGCATGGGAGGCAGTGTCCTGGCCCAGGAGGGAAGGACAGAAACTGGGCACTGAGAGGAGGTGGCTCTGGCTGGTCTGGTCCCCTCCCCCGCCCTCTCCTGGCTTCTTGCTGTTCCTGGAACGCGCAGAGCGAGCGCCTTCCTGAACAGGGGCCTTTGTACGTGCTGTTCTCTGCGAAGCAGCCCTCCCTACTGGCCCCTATGCCCCCCACCCCCACCCCTGAGCGCCCTGGGCCTGTTTAACTCTTCCTCTGCCATGCTGCTCAGCTCTACTGTCCCTTCCCGAGGAGTCCTGCGGCTGGCAGGCTGACGGGCTACAGGCTGTGCAGGTTCCAGATTCCAGGGCATCTCACAGGAGGGCAGTGTGTGCCCTCTGGGGGCCTGCCGGGGGTGGGGAGGGCCTACCTTCTCACCCACACCCTGGGGCAGCCATGTCCTCAAAGCTCCCCACCCCACCCCACCCCACGCAGGGCAGTGGGTTCCACTGGCAGCCCTGTCCTCCTGGCTTAGAGCGGCTCAGCCCACTCCAGAATGAGGGTGTGCAGGAGAGACAGGAGTGGGGAGAACACCAGGAGGGGGGCAGGTGAGGAAGGAGTGGCCTTGGACCGGAGGCGGGTGATACTCACAGCTGGTGGAGGGGCTGTCGGTGGCGTCCAGCTCTGCCCTCGGGAAGCCGAGCCCGGAGCGGGCCGTCAGCAGCGCGGACCTGATGGCTCTCTCGTGGGTGGTGAGCACAATGGTGGGGGCCGGCCCCGGGCCCCAGGGCCCGGCAGGGCCTGCTGCATCAAGGCCAGCTTGTCCTTGGTCCAACGTTTCATGTCATCCCATCTGTGCTTAATGTCCTTGATGGAACGGGGAACCTGGCTGATGGAGGTGATTTTCCGAGCTATGCCCTCCCAGATCTTGTCCCTGTCGGCGTGGGACAGCCGTGTGGTCTCCCTGCCAAAGAGTGCCGCCTCGTGCTGGGTCACCTCGGTGACCAGAATGTCCAGCTCCTCCTTGGAGAATTTGGGCTTCCTCTTACGCTCCGCCGGGGGCGCCGCATTCCTTGGGTGGGACACCCCACAGAGCACAGTGGGTCCATGCCCGTCACCGTGGGCAGGCATCCTCTTTTCCCAGGTGCTGGCGCCCAGCAGGGGAGCCCGGAGGCACCTGGGCACCTCGGCCAGCTCACCACCACCACCACACCCTCCTCCTGCCAACAGGTCTCTTCCACCGCTACCTCCTCAGGGGATGAGAGAAGAGGTGGGTCCCCGGGCAAGAGCCGGGACTTGGAGCAGAGGGAGCGCCCGCAGGCTTGGGCCCTGTGTTGTTACCTGGGACTTGCTGAGACCAGGGCCAGAGGTGGGCCGCCCCCAGCCTCCTTCTCCTCCACCAGGAACCGAACAACCACCATAAGACCCTGGGGTGTGGGTGTGGGTGGGTGCTGCTAACAGCCCTACGCTGCTGTCCACAGAACCACTGGGTCAGAATCCACCTGTGGGGCTTGCATTTCGGGGCTAAGCCTGGAGGTCACAGGGCAGCAGAGCCAGCCCCTCCAACGGCAGCCCTGGCAACAGCCCCTTTGCTACTGGGCTGCTGTGGCTTTGGGGAAGCTTGGGGGTAAACTGTGAAGGGCTCAAGGGCATCCACTGGGTGACAAGGTCCCTCTGATGGAGATTGGAAATGACCTTGGCTTCTGTGCCCACCACAGCTGTGCCCTCTACCTTGCCGGGCACGTGCTCAGGCTTTGGAACTCAAACCCTACCCCCCATGGGGTTCCCCAACTGCTGACTGGTACTAGAAAGTCCAAAAGATCCACCCACTTGAGGTGACCCAGGGGGCAGAGGGAAGCCTGGGGACCGATGCAGCCTCACACTGCCTCCTGAACAGAGGTGAGCTGCCAGGGCCCCCCAGGGAGCTTCAGCCTTCACCTCACCTGTGCTGGAACCTGGGCACCTAGACCCAGAAGGTGTGTGTGTGTGTGTAAGTGGGGATGGGTGGGGGGGGCTGCAGAAGCAGGCTGTGGACTCAGAAAGATCTGGGACCAGAGGGGTCGCCACCTGGGTCAGCCCACGGATGTCAGCAAGCCTGGTGCCCCCCTCTGTAAGGCAAGGAGTGCTCCCTAGAAGCCAGATGGCAAGACTGTCTCGCGTACTGTGAACACATCGTCGGGGAGCCTGGTCTCTGGAGAAGGTCCTCAGGCGTGGTGAAGTGGGGGGCTGAGAAAGAGAGGAAGGGCCTGACACCGTGGCTGCAACCATGGGCTCAAGGACAGGACCGACCATGCGGGCCGGAGCTGGACCGGGCAGGCAGTGTTTCCTTCTGTTGTGTGCGGGGCCGCTGTGGGTGGGACCGACTGCCTGGCACCTGACGAGAGCCGCAGTAGCAGCAGCGACAACTGAGGAGGCTAGTTCTAGTGCGGCGTCCCCACCGTGGCAGGGCGATACATGGCAACGTCTTTCGGTCTTGGCCCTGTGGGCCTGTAGGACTGGTCATCTCCCGTTTGGGGGGAGCTGCCCTGGATGTGTTCGCATCCAGGGCTTCCACCTGCTAGAAGCTGTGACGACCAAAAATGGTTTCCCAAATGCCCTGACGGAGAAGTAGAGCCTGCCTCAATGAAGAGCACCCCGCAGGGGGCACCCACCCACCCGGGGCACCCACCCACCCACCACTCCAAACGGAGGCCCAGCCTGCCTGCGATCTGGGCTACCCACTGATCTGCCAACTGCCAAGGTCGGCGATGCGAACCCACCGGTAGCTCAGAGGGAGCCATCTGAGGCTGTCTACTCCCAGACAGATGGACAGACAGATGGACAGCCCTGGAAACCCTGAGAGGCAGTTCTCTGTCCAAGAGCATCGTGGCAAGTCGCAAGGGACTGCAGGACAGGGAGATTCCCTACTTTTGAAGAAAGTGACCAAGCTCCCTGGATCGCCCCCAAGACCCTGGTGGATGACAGCGCGAAGGGAAGTGGCTGTAAGCTGTAAGGAGCTGTCTGTACACACGGACCTGACACTTGTCGTCATGAGGGAGGTGGGATCCTGGGCTTTCCCCTCATTCCAGCCACGGCCAGAGGGCCATCTCCAGGGACAGCCGCTCACCGGGCAGCATCTCCATGGCAACAGACCACACACCCACCCCCAGGCCTACCCAAGTCTTCAGTGAGACGCAGATCCCCGGCTGGGATTACCTGGGCGCCATCAGGAGCGCAGGAGCAGGGCAGATCCAACACTACGCGGCTGCAGAGCCCACCCACAGCGCAGGGAAGCCATGGGGCGTCCCTCCCTGCGCCCAGGCAGAACGAGCCTGTACGTCCCAAGCTACAAGCCCGAGTCCTTGCTGCCACTGACTGCATGGCCATGAGGGAGACTGTGCCCCTGCCCTGAAGCAGAGACCACTGGGAGGTTCTCAGCTTCCCCTGTAGCACCCATGCTGGGGGAGTGGGGGACTTGCCCCGGTTCAGCCAAGTGGGAGTTTCTGGGTACCAGAGGGTCACCTAGTTAGTCCTGATACTGCAGCTCCTTCTTTGGGGTGTGGTCGAGCCTCAGCCCCAAGGCGAAAGGTGGAACGGAATCAGCATCCCAGCTTCTGCAGCCTTTACGTGCAGAGCAGCGATGCCCGGCCCCTGACTGGACACATGTCCACGCAGTCGAAGGACACGCCTGCCTTTGCTTGCCTGGAGTCAGACAGCGAGGGCATACAAGGAGCCCAGGCTCCGGGTCTGGTTCCTGCCAACCATCCGATGGCCTGTCTGCATGACCCTTGGTCCCCACATCTGTGTCTGGGTTCAATCGTGTCCCCACCAACATCCTGGCCCATTCAAGGTCCCATCCTGCACCACACCTCCTTGTGGGCCTCCATAGCTCATGGTCTGTGCCCCAATTCAACAACATACTAGAATGTTTCTGTGGAGGGTAGGGGTGGGCCCCAGGGTGGGCTGGGCAGGCAGGGTGCACCCCCCTGGGTGCCCAGCACAGAAGTCAACTCCCACAGGCTCTCAGTCAATGAATGAGGCCCATGTGTATTGAGTTGGCCTGGGGCCGGTGGCCAGTGTGGAGGGGGCAGCACATACCCTCTTGCCGGTCCCACAGAAGAGCCCCTGCTCAGGGCAGTTCCAGCAGAACAGGGAGCCACAGCACCACACAGACACCAACGACAGAGGACACGGACCCACAGTGCCACCCCTACACTTCCCTGGCCCTCCTGCCCCAGGCCCTGAGCCCTGGCCACCATCCCAGGGTCCCTGGGAGATGTTGCCAAAGAGGCAAGTGTGACCTCCCCCTGCGACCCCGTGGGCAGCAGTGCCCCACCCAGAGAACGCGCCCGGCACCCCAGGTTCTGGGATCAGCGTGGCCACACCTTTGCTTCCCAGGCCAGTCTCCGGCTCGCTCTGGACAGCCTTTCAGGTTCTTCCTACGCAAACAGCTATTCCAGCCCCGGAAGTCCCCCTCTGGGAAGTATTGCATCGGGGCAGCCAGCCCTGTCCCAGAACTGACTACGCTGAACTTTGCTAGAAACAAAGCCTATCCCAGGGGGGCCATTTAAGTAACTGCTACCCTACGGTGACCCCTCCACAGCTCCAGCCAGAGTCCTGCCCTGACAAAATGCCCTCCCTTACCCTACATGCTGCAGGACCCTGGGGCTACAGACACGTCGGCAGGAGTGCAGGCCTCCTCCAGACCCCTTTGAGGGAAGCCTGGGGGAGCAGGGCCCCCCCAGGGCTGGATACACCCCATACCCTGCAAGCGACGATCCAGAGCCTTCAGGGGCTCCACCACTGGAGATCTCTTGGTTCAACGGGCTCCTTGGGCCCTCTTCCCAAGGGTGGGAACCCAGGCTTGAGTGGGACTCACCTCATCCAGTTGGCTTTAGTCTCGTCTGACCCATCTATGGACTTGTAGCGGTTGTTCTTGTCCACGATCTGGAAGACAGAAAGAGAGTCTAGAACGGGCCTTCCCCGAGAGAGCTCTCCCACCCACGGGCTTCTGTCCAACCCAGGGCCCAGGGCCTGGCCCCCTCCACTGCCTACATCCCTGTCTTCTGCCAGGACCCCGCAAGGCACCCACTGTTGCAGGACTGAAGCCCTGGGGCCAGGAACCCTTGCCACCTCTGTCCCACCCATTCCCCTTCCTCCCAGACCGACTGGGGAGCCGTGAGAACCTGGGAGATGGAAGGCGGTTGGACTGAGCCGTGTCTCTCCGCCACCTCGGTGGGCAGCCAGACACAGGGCCCACAGATGGCGCTGCCCACAGCAGCCCCAAGAACCGTCCTGAGCCCTCCCTCCTGCTACCGTTCCTGTGGGACAGACGCTGGCACTGGGTGGCCGGCAAGTCAGAGGGCATAAGGTAAGTGTTTAAAAGCCTAAGGGTATGAGGCTGGGCCCTTTTTCCTTCTGTGAGCATGTGTGGTAGTTGCATAGTCTGGTGTCCATTTGAGAGGATGGAGAGTGAAGGGGTGGAGTCTAGTCTGTCAATCGGGTCATAGCCAATGAGGCCTTTGTGTAGGCATGAGCTTCCCCTGAGGATTCTGGGAACTCCTGTTTTCTGGGAACGCTCTCTGCTCACTCCCTGGGAGACTCTCTACTGACAAGGCTCACTCCCTGTGAGATATCCCTGAAGAGAAGGCGCATTGACCTACCCAGATGGAGCCCTGGGAGCTGGAGCAGCTGCGTGGAGACCCCTGCCAGCACTGAGACGCTTACAACATCACTGGATTCACAAGACTTCCCACCCACTGGCCTGTGACCTTCCTGCACTCAGTGTCATTGCATGTGTTTCGTGAGTCTGAAGAGGACTTTAGAGACTGGTATCTGACATGTGGGCTAATATCAGACTTATGGGCTTGATCTGGACTGGGCTGGGACGTTTTTCTCGATACTCAATTGCTCAGGTATATAAAGCTCGTTTCTATGCACATGAGTCTCCCTGAATTTGTTTCTCTGGTCCACCCGGACTAACATAGCATGTCTTTATTTTACCCTCCCACTTGAGTTAGTGTTCAGCAAGCTATGGGGTTTAGGGCCGAATGATTCCTTTCCCATCCGGGTGCTTTGAGGATGGCCCCAAGAGCTGTCTGCCATGTAGCTCAAACGGAGAATGGGGAGCGGGAAATTTGAAGATTTCCTTTTATTCTTCATTTTCTGCAGTTTTACTGGGTTGTTTATTAGAGGCAAAATCGACGACTACTTCTTTTGCTTTTAACCCTTCCCCATGATTTAATGAGCGTTCTCAAAGCGAGGGCTGAGGGCCCTTCGTCAGTTCTAGAAGCTCCCCAGCTGCTAGTGTTTGGGCGTCTGTGTCACTGCCACTCCGTCGCTCACCTAGCGCATCCATGTAGAATTTCTACTCAACAGCTAATCTCTTCCCCACGTCTGCTAATCCCCTCTGTCTCGTTCTCCCTTCTGTCTCTTTCTGGGCAGCGCTCAGGACGCTCTTCCGATTCACTAATTCTTTCTTCGACTGTGTCTGTTTAGAGTGATCCCCTGCCTGGAGGTTTTCCCTTGCTTCCCTTCTTCTTATGAAACGAGTATCTCTAATTCATAGATTTTTCTTTCTTGTTTTGGCTTGTTTTACTCTCTGGCTCTTCAGTTGGTTCTTTGTGGAGCCCCTTCCTTTCGTTAGTAGAGCTGCCTCTTCATCTCGTTATGCCGAGTCCCTTCCTTGTCTGTTTCTCACGGCTTGATACAGCTACAGCGAACATCCAAGGCGGCTCTGGGTGCGTTCAAACAACCAAGCTGCAGGCTGGTCATCAAATGCTTCGCTGCTGGTGCCCCCAGGGCCTCCCGAGTGGACGTCAGTATCTGGTTCAGATGGCTCTGGACCTCCGTGGCCTCTTCCTTCAAGAGAACTCCACTAAGAAGCAACTGAAGACCCTCTGCCTTCACCTCACTCTCCTCCTTCCCCAGGAAAGCCACCGTCCGAAGCTGGTGGGGAGCCTTCCCATCGGGGCTCCCTAGGGGTCTGTTTCAAAACCGGGCACAGAACTACAAACACTGCAGAAACCGTAACCGCAGGAACAGATCCCGGAGCCACTGCATTACTTTCCACAGCTTGCCAGACTTGGTTCGTCTCAGCCCCTCTCAAAGGCTTCCCTGACCTCATCGAAACCTAAAGCAGGTTGGCTTTGGTCTTGGGGGGTTACTGCGCCTCTCTTCCCACCTTCGCACGCAGGGAGTGACCTCACATCAGTCGCTTGGAGTCAGCTCTGCGGGAGTACGAACATCATGGATACGGGCAACCCCACCCCCCACCCCCGTCCCCGCTGCAGGGTGACACATGCTGTAGCACACCTGCGTGCATGCGTGCATACGCACAGGGCAGTCTGGGAGGGAGCGCACCGCTAACTCTCCCGTCCAGGGACTTCTAGAGAGGAGGAAAGAAGGCGGGGAACGATGGTGTTGCTTTGTGTTTCTACGGATAAGAACACCCTGCTTGCTTTCCCAAACAAGCCATCAAGGGAGCAACCTACGAACGCAGTCTCCACTGGACGCAGAATGGACCCCTCAGCGCTGGTAGGGGTACTCGGTGGAGCACTGGACATCACTACAGAGTGACGTGGACACGGTGGAGCGCCCCGGCAGCTGGCCCTGGAGATTGTTAGGCTGAGGGAGATCGTCAGCTATAGGAGATCCACTAATATGAGGGCACTGCTACAGAGAAGGAGCAAGACCAGGGTTCCCACAGTCAGAGAAACAAGAGTGGAGGGTTACGGGCACAGGTAAGGAGGGGAAGTGAAGCCATGGGCTAGAGAGTCCATAGGAGTGAACTTGGCTGACAGGGAGGAAAGTATTCCATGAGAGGGAGAGAAGAGAAATCAAAGGAAGCAGGTCAAACTATTGGTGGTGGTGGTGGTGGTGGGTGTTGACAGGTAGTTTAAATTATGAAAAACTAAATTGATTCTCTGAAATGTAACCCCCTACCTAACTTACAAGTTTTGTATGTGTGTGTGTGTGTGTGTGTGTGTGTGTGTGTGTGTGTACACATCTGAAGTATGGTGCTGGAGAAAAATACTGAAAGTACCATGGCCTGCCAAAGGAATCAACAGATCTGTTTGGGAAGAGGTCCGGCTAGCACGCTCCTCAGAGGCAAGGCTGACGAGACTTTGTCTCCCGTCATTTGCACATATTGTCAGGAGAGACCAGTCCCTGGAGACTGGGGACCATCGTGCTTGGTAAACTGGGGTGGGGGGGGTGAAAAAGCAGAGGCCCTGGACCAGATGGATGGAGACAGTGGCTGCAACAATGGGCCCCAACATAAGCACAACTGTGAGGATGCTCCAGGACGGGGCAGCGTTTCATTTGGCTGTACATAAGGATCGCTCCTCAAGGGACCCCCTCTCCCAATCACCCACCCAAGAGGGGCCTCAGAGCCCTCTCAGAGCTGCCAGCTCGGCCTCTGGCCTGAGCACACGTGCTCTGTGGAACTGGCCGTTGCACAGGAAGGAATTCTTTGTCACGCAGGGGCTGCAAGAGTGCCTTTTCAATAAGCGGAATGGCCGTTACGGCAGCGGTTCTCCACCTTCCGCATGCCGCGACCCGTTCACACAGTTCCTCCTGTGGTGGTGACCCCCCAGCCATAACATGAGTTTCGTTGCTACTTCATCACTGTCATTTTGCTACTGTTAGGAATCGAGCAACCCCTGTGAAAGGGTCGTTGGACCGCCAAAGGGGTTGCGACCCACAGGTTGAGAACCTCTGCTGTAAGGCATTCTGATTTTCAGCATCGTGCCTCCTCTGAGGGAAAAGGTGGTGCTAGGGGCGATCCAGGGCACTGTTTGCAGGGGACAGAACTCTTTTCCAGGTGCCCCCGGAGGCCTCCGGGTCACCTCTCAGGGCAGCCAGCAGCAACCAGGAGAGGGAGAAGTGGGACTGACCTTGAACTCTGGCCTCTGCTGCCCCCAGAAGCTACGGAGTGAAGAACACTTAACCCCCAAGGGGTCTGTGAGATCATCTAGGTCAGGGTTCCTAAGCTAGTGTCCCTGAGCAGACTGCAGGAGGTCTGTGACGTCTGCACCGGACGCACCTTGACTTTCACTGAGAAGGGTATTAGTACTTCCTTGTATTGTTCACAGCTACCTGTCATCACATTTCAATAAGGCCCTGGAGACCCGGGAAAGGAGGCATATTCATACAAATTCCACCTCCGGTTTGACGGCTTTCGGTTTCGTCCACCCCCACCCTCAGCTGTCCCTGAAACGCACAGTGAGAGTTACAGCCCAAACCAGAATCAAACCGAGCCCACTGTCCTTGAGTGGAGTCCAACTCACCAGAACCCCAGAGGGCACAGGGCAGTGGCCTCACAGGGGTCTCAAGGCTGCGGTCTGTCTGTCCTTCTCTCCCAATCATAGGAAGGAAAAAAGAAAGCTACCTTTATGACAACCGAATCTGGCAAAAGAAATGGCCTGGTGGCATACGCTTGGAGCGCAGCCCCTAAAGAAACAGGGGAGACCCCCCCCCCGGATGTCGTGAGGGGGTCTGCACGCTCACTCTTGGGCCTGGAGGTCACCGCCAGCTCTCGAGCTAGTTTTGGAATTCCAGCCCCACACCAGCGGTGTCCCCTTGGACAGGCCGTTCTGACGTTCACGCCTGTTTCTCAAGGTGTGAAAATGGGTGACAACCACCCAGGGAGCCCTCCCGGCATCATGGTCACCCACTGGGCTGCAAACCGCAAGGTCCACGGATCGAAACCACCCGCCACATGGGAGAAAGCGGAGGCATTCTGTCCCGAAGAGTTACAGTCTGGGAAGGGCCACAGGGCCAGGTCTCCCCTGTCCTATAGCGTTGCTGGGAGTTGGAGTCGACGGATGGCAGTGAGTTTGGTTTGGTTTGAAGAAAGCCACCAGCTACTCTATCCTGCGAATAGGAAGAGTCAACACACTCACGTCATTTAGTCCTCAAGGCACTGCCCGCTCGTTGTTAGTGCC